TTCTTTACCTTGACTCCATGTTTAAAACACTCCCTAAAGGGCGTGGGGATGTAGATCAGTGGTAGAGCACTTGCACAAGGCTATGGGTTCCATTCTCAGCCCAGCCAAATAAATTGTTTCCTACTCCAAAAAACTCCAAATTGGAAGATATTAAAGGTCTGCTGAGTTCTTACATGATATGGAGACAGAGGCAGAAGGAAATATCTAAAACCATCTATGTACTTTGTTTAAAAAAAAAAAACCAGTTTAGGTTCTGAAAAGATTTGATCATCTAATTTGCATAAAGAGGATGGAAGTATTTTCTAAACCCTTAATCACTACACCCTGCACACCTGGGCCTTTGAAGCACAGCTATAAAATTTAAAAGACAAAGGCCCTCTTTGCTTCACAACTAGGTAACCTTCATTTGTATATTTTCTAATGTAACCATAACCACCACTTCTGTGCCTAAACATTCAAGGTTAGGTTTAAACCATAGATTTGGTATTGCAAACACGTAATGCAAAGAAACCCAGATCAATAAACTCATTTTAATGTGGCCCAGGATGACTACATTTGGTGTTCTTTATGAATGCCCCTGCTTTTGAATCCTGGTCATATTCCCTCCACAGAGAACAAACACTGTGGGTTTGTTCTTGCTCTAGGGCCAGCCTGGTTGCCTCCCCACTTAAAATCCCACAGGCCAGCATTTAGCTCTCAGAACCTTTAATAAACCAGCAAAGTTTTGTGAGTAAATACTGTATTAAAATTTATGCCACAGGTAAGTGCATTAAAGTGTATTTAGTACTTCTTAAACAGCTTCTGAAAAATAATTTCAAACAAAGCTCTCAAAAATAATTTCAAACAAAGCAAACAACTGAGTACTAAGAAGTTCAACTTCTAAGGTTCTGGGAAGCTGGAATAAGGTTTGGCAGTGCTTGGTACTATTTATGAATGTGATGGCTGGACCATGCCAATCTCACCTACGTAATGAGATGGAAGCCTCAGTTACAGCCCCAGTACTGTAAGTTACTATGTTGAATAAGTCGTTCTCAGGCCCTATGAAGGAACCCATTTTTCTTCTCTGTCAGTTCCATCCCATTTTTTCTATTTACACTACATTTGCATTCACAATTAAAAAGTTTTACTTTACTTATGCTAGGCCTAGAAGCAACTCCAAAATGAGATGCACTGTTTACAAAGGAAAAAAAACGTCCCAATAAAGCCACAGGTCCCCTGCTATCTCAAACCCACAGCCTGAAATTGTTTGAACTGGCCACAGTAAATCTAGTTCATGGGCTTGTACACTGGCTCAAAGCATTTTCTAGACACAATGGACTTAGAGGGTGTAAACTCAGTGAAATTACAAGATATTTCATTATATTATATACAGAGACTTTCTCCACTCATGTCTTGCCCAATCATAGCCAAGAATATATGCCATATAAATACTGTTCTAGAAATTTCAGAGTACAACTAATGGTTTAAATTGAGAAATCTGAAGATTAGGAGGAAGAACACATTTGCCTGAAATTTCTTTAATCAGGACAGCCTGGGCTATAGAGCAAAGCCCTGTCTTTAAAAACCTAAAGAAAAGAAAAGAAATATAATAGTGACAAATACTTTTTCAATGGATACTCATTTTGTATTGTACAGTGTTGCCACATACTAATCAGAAATCACACTGCTGGAATCTTAAAATCTAATTAGTCAACAACATAATGAGTATAAACAAATCTCCTGAAGCTCAAAAGATCCAATTTGGTATTTACTGGTCATCAAATGTGTAAAATAGAAATGACTTCAATTTTAAAGGTATTTACGCTGCGTGAAATGTCACTTCTAGGCAAGAGAAAGCCTAAAAAAGTGACCAGTATGTCCTCCAAAAAAGGGCAAGACAAAATGAGTCTTGTGACCACAGGAAAGTGCAAATAAAAGGACACTCTGTCCTCTCCCGGAAGTTACTGCTTAGGAACTAAGTGCCTTCCCCCACAATGCCACTGACACATGGCACTGCAAGTCATTCTTCCAACAGGTGAACACTTGAGAAATTATTCTGATTCTCCCCGCATGATTCTATTAAAAAAGCTTAAGTACGTACGGGAAAACTCTATTCCACATACTGCCTCAACTAAATAAAATAATCCAGAAGGATAGGATTGGCAAGGTAGAAGCAAAATCTTTATATGTAGATGAAATGATCAGCTACAAAGAAAATACTAAGAAATCTCTAGGAGCCCCTAGAACTTGTATTTCAATTTGAATCCTATCCTAATTGTGTCATTTTATTGCCAG